TCTCTAAGACTGAGAGTGGTATTTGTCTGTGTGTATTATTCTAGTTTGCTTCTCTGTTGTGATAAAACACTGACCAAAAGCAACGGGGGAGAAGAGGGTTGGTTTCAGCTTGCAGGAACCTGGAAGCAGGAACTGAAACAGACGAGGCAGGAATGCTGCTTTCTGGCTTGCTCATCTAACTTTATTATATGTAGCCCACCTGCCTAGGGATGATGCTACCCACAGTGAGTTGCCCCCACACACACACACATGAATTAGCAATCAAGAAAATGTCCCACAGACCACTTTGAAGGAGGCTGTTCTTTAATTGAGGCACCCTCTTGCTGGGTATGTCAAGTTGGCAACCAAGATTAGCTGTCACTGATCTAAAACATAGGTGTTTAGAAGTCAGTTTGACACCCTGTCAACTTGGGTAAACAGCAGTAGTAAGTTACCCCTCCCTAGAGTCTGACCTTCCCAGCCATGAATTTTTAACTGGATTACAGTACTAGGCATGGATTCCTTCCTGCAGAGCGGGTTTTAAATCCAACCAGAATGGTTTATTGCACCATTAATAGTCATTGCCACTAGTGGATTGGCATTACAGTTCATAGGTTCCCAGCTGGAAATGTCCGTTGATCCTTTTCTACCCCTGCAGCCTGTATATATAACCTCACTTTATGAAAGCAAGCCAACAAGAAGGAAGCTTCCAGATTGGTTTCTCTCGGTCTTGCAACCAATTTGTATTGTCTTTACTAATATGATCTTGCCATCAAGTTCTGGTGGACAGCCAAGAAGTATGGCAAGAGTGCATTGTTTGGGGAGCTTTTGCCCCCCCCAATAGTTCAAATGAGATATCACACCTGGCACTAGCATTTATGGTTAATAACCAGTGGCTTCTAGGAGAAGCAGTATCCAGCCAAGCAGGGCATCTTCTTACAACTCATATTTTACTTACGTATTTTAACTGGCTTACAAAATAGGTTTCCATATGGCTTTTTTATACATACTTTAGTTTGGTTAACCCTCCCCATGTCCCCTGCTTCCCACACTCTTCCCTGCTTAAAGCTTTCCATCCCCTCTCTATTTCAACATCACCTTGTTGTAATACCCCTTTCTGACGGCATCCCCTTTCAATGGTCCCTTTCTAGTTTCCTGGCTTCTACACATATTCCAATTAAACATAGTTCAGTCTAGAATTCACAAATGAGAGAGAACAGGGCATTTGTACTTCCAGGTTTGGGTTACTTCACACAGTATAATTTTCCAATTCTGTTCATTTACCTCCAATTTTCATAATTTAACTTTTTTTTTACAGATGAATAGAACTCTATTGTGTGTGTGTGTGTGTGTATGGATGGATGGATGGATAGATCACATTTCCATATCCATTTATCTGTTGGACTGATTCCATTTCCTAGCTATTTCGAATAGAGCAGCAATGAACATGGATGAGCATACGTCTCTGTAGAAGGATATAGAGTCCTGTGAGGAATGTGCCCAGGAATGGTACAGCTGGTGTATATGGAAATTCTACATCTAGCTTTCTGAAGAATTGATCTCTCTAGAGGCTGCACCAGTCTACACTCTTACCATCAGTGAACAATTGTTCCTATTTCTTTTTGATAGCTATTCTGCCTGAAGTGAGATGGAATCTCAAAGTAGTTTTAATTTTCATCTCCCTAGTGACTAATGATATAGACCTTTTTTCATTTTTTTAATTGTCGCATATAAGGTTTTATACACAATCAATGTGCATTGTAATACAGTATATATTAAACTTCAATGAAGTTCATCTAAAATGGTAACCTGGCTGAATAGCACATATAACCTTATTGTCCACATGAAAAGGGAAAACAATAACTTTTGGCTATTTTGGATTCTAAAAATGTTCATACACCTACTGATGTTGAACTTTTAAAAATGTTTAGCAGCTATACCTATTTCTTTGGGGAAGTCTCTCTCTGTTCAGATCTATGGCTCATTTTGAACTGGGACTTGTTTCTTGGGTTGTTTGTGTCCTTGCTCTAATCCTGTTGGACATATAGGTAGCAAAGACTTGCCCCATCCTGTAGCTTGTTGACTGCTTCCCTTGCTGCACAAAGGCTTTTTAGTTTCTTGAGTTTCCACTAGTCAGTCCGTGGTCGTATTTCCTGAGCAACCAGAGTCCCGCCTTGGAAAGTCCTTTTCTAGACCCATGTCTTGTACATACTCCCTGCTTTTTCTTCTAGTAGTTTCAGATTTTACATGGAGTTCTTTGGTCAATTTGGAGTTGTTTTTTTGTGCAGTGTGAGAAATAGGGATGTAGTTGCAGTCTTCCGCATGTGGACATCCAGTTTTCCCAGCACCTTTTGTTGAAGATGCTGACTTTTCTCCAACTTATATTTTTGGCATCTTTGTCAAAAATCAGGTGACTGTATTAGTGTGATTCATGTCTGGGTTTTCTCTTTCACTGATTTACATGCATTTTTATGCCAGTACCATGCTGATTTGTTGGTTTTTTTTTTTTTTGGTGTTTCAAGACAAGGTTTCTCTGTGTAGCCTTGGCTGTCCTGGAACTCACTCTGTAAACCAGGCTGGCCTCAAACTCAGAAATCCTCCTGCTTCTGCCTCCTGGGTGCTAGGATTAAAGGTATGCCCCACTACCACCTGACACCATGCTGTTTTTATTAATGTGGCTCGTAGTATAACTTGAAACCAGATGTGGTTTGTGTAGTTGGTTTTTTTTTTTTTCACTCTTCACTCTTTGCTCCTCTTTGGGGATCTGCCACCCAGCTCCCAAATAATCAAATAGAGTCTTTTTCTTACTTATAAATGCCTGGCCTTAGCTTGGCTTGTTTCAGGCCAGCTTTTGTAACTTATATTGTCTTATCTACCTTTTGCCCCTGGGCTTTTACCTTTTTCTATTTCTGTATATCTTTTCTTTCCTTCTTATTCTGTGTCTGGCTGTGTGTCTGGCTGTGTGGCTGTGTGCCTGGCCCCTGGGGTCCTCCTCTCCTCCTTTCCTCTTCCTCCCTCTTCTTCTTTTTTTTCACTCTGCCTGCCAACCTTGCCTGCCAGCCCCTCCTATCCTTTCTCCTGCCTTGCTATTGGATGTTCAACTCTTTATTAGACCATTAGATGTTTTAGACAGACAAAGTAACACAGCTTTACAGAGTTAAACAAATGCAACATAACGGAATGGAATACATCTTTGCATTATTAAACAAATATTCCACAGCATAAACAAATGTAACACATCTTCAACAATATTCCACAACAGTTTGAATGAGAACAGCCCCCATAGGCTCATAAATTTGAATGTTTGTTCCCAGTTGGTAGAACTGTTTAGGAAGAATTAAGAAAGTCTAGCCTTGTTTGAGGAGGTGTGTCAAACCCAGTCTCCTCTCTCTCTCTCTCTCTCTCTCTCTCTCTCTGCCTCCTGCTTATGGATCTGATATAAGCTCTCAGCTAAGGCTCTAGTGCCATATCTGTTTGCCTGCTGCCATGCTCCCTGCTGTGAAGGTCATGGACTCACCCTCTGAAACTATAGGCAAGCCCCCAATTAAATGCTTTCTTTCTTAAGTTGCCCTGATCATGGTAGCTCTTCCCAGCAACGGAACAATAACTAGACACCAGGTATGATGCCTCAGGTATTATTTTTGCTTTGGATGTCTGTGGCCTTTTGTACTTGTGTATCAATGTGAAGATTATGTTTTCAGTTTCTGTGAAGAACAGCATGAGAATTTTGATTGGAATAGCATTGGTTCTGTAGATTACTCTTAGTGGGATGGTCACTTTCACAGTATTAATTCTGATCCCTTAGCTTGGGAGGGCTTTTCATCTTTGAGTGGTTTTTTTAGCCTCCTTTTTTGACTATTGTCAATTCCTTGATTTCTCTCAGTGTGCCATTGGTATATAAAATGGCTCTGGATTTTTATATGGTACTCTTGTATACTCCACTTTGCTGAAAGTATCTCTCAGCCCGAGTTTTCTGATGGCACTTTTGGATTTCTTATGTGTAGTATTGCATCACCAGCAGACAGAGATACTTGGACTTTGTTTCCCATTTGTACCTCTTTTGTTTCCTTCTCTTGTCACTGGGCTGTATCTTGAAACTCAGACACTGTTTTAAATAGGAGCAGAGAGTGGGCAGCCTCATCTTGTCCCTGATTTTAATAGAATTGCCTCAAGTTTTTCTCCATTGAGCATTGTGTTGACTATGGGTCATATATAGCTTCCATTCAATTGGGGTATACTCCCTCTACCCTATTCTATCTGTTTTATCAATGGGTACATTTCCACTGTGAACTGTATTTACTCATAACTGGCCAAATGCCCTTCAGTTGATGAATGAGTAAACTTAGGTGTATCCATACAGTGGAATACTACTCAAAAAGGAATAAACAATTGAACAACATGGATGAAGTTCAAATGCACTAACTGAACAAGGCAGACTCAGTGTAGCATTTCTTTTAGAGAACATTCTGGGAAAGATAAAAGTACTGGGCAGAAAGCATAGCAGGTACCAGATGTTAAGAATGGGTGTGGGGAAACATGGGAACATAAAGGGAAGTGTTAAGGATTTGGGGGGGGGGGGGGGAGGAAAGAATGTTCTGATGGTTGAAATAGTCTATGTGTCAAAATTCAGATTGGACCACAGAGAATCTAACTATACATAAATTTAAAATACATTTTTAAAAAGAAGCAGAATTTTTTGTACAACTTTGAAAACTTTTTTTTTAGAATACAAAGATTTAATAGAAATGCGTAAGTGCCCAAATTCCACTTAGTGTTTAGTTAAAGAAAATTATTAGGTAAGTTATATGCTGTCCCACCGCTCGGTTCAGACCACCTAAATCAGACCACTAGTGACAGGCTGCAAGATCTCCCAGGGAGGACAATCAACCAGCAAACAGACCCGCCCGGCGGGCGGGAGGCGGTCGCCGGGAGCTGTTTGACAGCAGGGCTGTCCCACCCACCCCTCTGGGACGCGTGCCACCGCCAGCTCACAAACGCCAGAGGGAGGCGGGACTCGCCCAGCCTGCGCCGCCGCCTCCGTCGCCACAATCAGACATTGGCCGCGCGCGCGCCCCCGCCAACCACGGGGCGCCGCAGGCCAGGCTCCGCAGCCGCACTCGTCTAGGACTGCCAGGCCAAGGCCAGGTTCGGTTCCAGCCTCGATGTCCGCAGCACCTGCAGCCCTGAACATCCCCCTCCCTTCCCGCTCCCAGCCTGCGGCTTCTAGTGATTGCATTCTGTCCCACGCGGCTTTAGCCGCCGCCGCCGCCGCCGCCGCTCAGTGCTCTTCTTCCCACACCCGTGGAAGCAATTTGTTGATGTCACTTTCTGTGAAAAAGTCCTGTGGTGACCTGAATGCCCACATCTTTCAGACAGGTAACAAATTACCTTGTATCTTTAGCTTTACTGATACTTGTCCAAACAATTTGGATTTGGTCCTGCTTATCTAATTGGCAGTGTGTTTTTAAATGGGACTTAATGCTCAAGAGAACGGAGATTTTTCTCAAACACGTTTTTAGAGTTTTATTTAGCTGTATATTTCAGCTTTTACAACATTTGTGGAGGAGGGTACATGTGCTGAGAGGGAGGTGCACAAGGGGAGGGGGGAACTCTCTCCTTCTTCCGGGTGGGTCCCAGGCATCGAACTCAGGTTGTCACGCTTGGCAGCAAACACCTTTCCCAGCCAAGCCATGTCCCTGGGTAACTGATGACAACTCCTTCAACTGAATACTTTCCAGTCGTTAAAAAGAAATGTTTTTTTTTAGGTACTTGTTTCAAATAACCTGGTTCACTGCCATAATGTAAATGTTAACTGTCTACCCTGCTGAATAAGGTAGTCACTAGCCCCATGTGGCTACTGAACACCTGAAATTTGGCTGTGACTAGAGTTGACTTGTCTTTTACTTAATTTCCATTGGAATAGCTACATGTTGCTAGTGTTTACCTTATTGGAAAATGATACCATATATTAAGCTCTCAGTGTCGTCCTCATTCCCCGGGGGAAAAAGGCATGAGTGAGATTACCAATTGTTACCTCCAGGAAGCTGTAGAAGACATCTTCTCTGCTTTTCCAGCATCTGATTTTCCTGTGGGGTGGCCTGTCCCTCTATACCAGTGGTTCTTAACCTGTGTGTTGAGACCATCGGAAAACACAGGTATTTACATTACAATTCATAACAGTAGCAAAATTATAGTTACGAAGGAGCAAGTAAAGTGATTTTACGTTGGGGGTCACCACAGCCCGACGGTCGTATTAAAGGGTCGCAGCATCAGGGAGGCCAAGACCCGCTGCTCTATACAACAGAGTCTGTAGCATCTGAATTGAGCCCAAGAAGATGCCACCTCAGGCATAGGCTGAAGCACAGAGCACGACCTAAAAAGCAGCCTTGTTCCGGTTCCTGGCCACAGTTATTGGTTCAGGCTTGGGCATGTGACCTAATTTAGGCCCATATAAGAGAAGCTTTGATCTCCAGCTCACTTAGCCTCACACTGAGATACTGCAGTCCTTGTTTTTAAAAAGGCTTTGCGTCTTCTAAAAATGCTCTTGTATTTCACAATGTAAATGTACCGAATACCGTGAGCTGAACACTTTTAAATGGTTCAGATTAAGGCAGGGCCTGATGATCCATGCTGGAAGTCTAGCACCCAGTTCAGATTAAGGTGGGGCCTGATGATCCGTGCTGGAAGCCTAGGCATATGAGAAAACAAATCCTTACCTTACCGCATCCACAGTACAACATCTGCATGGATTAGATAACTTAAAAACAAATGTGGCTGATTTTAGAATCTGTGGTCTCCCTGCTCTTTGGCCTCACTTCTATCAACCATCATTCAGTTCGGTTTTCCTCAAGTTACCAGTTTGAGTGAATCCTCTTTATTCTGTGGAATCCTGTTACCAAAAAAGAAAGGGAAAGTTTTTTTAATTTAAAAATTTTTATTTAATTTCCCATATCACCACTACCCATGCAATATGTCATGACTATGAGTTATTAAATTTTATCTTTTAGGAAACCAGTACTATTGGGTGACTATGGCATTCTGTGGAGCTCAGTCTTCTGAAGGTCATAGCATGAATAATTCTTGAAGATTGGGCATGTAGCTCAGTGGTAGATTGCTTGCCTAACATGTGTGAGGTTGAAACCCTGCAAAATTTTTTCTCAATTAAAAAAACTGCAAAATATAGTCATGTATGTTGGTATATTTCTATAAATCCAAAGTCAGCCTCGGCTACAAAAAATAGATATAGGTAGGTAGGTAGATAGATAGATAAGACACTGTCGAGGTCTTTCCCTTCCTTGGTTAGCATTACTCCTGGCATTTACTTTACTTTTTGAAGTTATTATGAATTTATTGTTTCTGTTTTATTACACATAGCAAGCTCATTATAGAGATGCAGAGAATTTACTGATTTTTCTGGTGTCTTTAGGGTCTTTTAAGTCTTCAATTACATAGTTTGTAAACAGGGCTAATTTAACTTCTTACTTACAAATGGTGTGTTAGCTAGTTTTATTTCCATTTGACACAAGCTACAGTCACTGGAGAGGAGAGCACCTCAATTGAGAAAATGACTCCATAATCCAGCTGCAGGCAAACCTGTAGGGAATTCTCTCAATTAGTAATTAATGGGGAAGCACTCCAGCCCATGGTGGGTGGTGCCATCCCTGGCTGGAAGTCCTGGGGGTCTATAAGAAAACAGGCTGAGCAGCCATGGGGAGCAAGCCAGAAAGCAGCACCCCTCCATGACCTCTGCATCAGCTCCTGCCTCCAGGTTCCTCCCCTGCTTGAGTTCCTGTCCTGACTTCCTTCGATGAACAGTGATGTGGAAGTAAGTGAACCCTTTTCTCCCCAAGTTGCTTCTGGTATTTCATCCCAGAAATAGAAATCTTTTGCCCCCAACAATAGAAATCTTGGCTAGGACAAAGGGTACACCTTTTATTCCTTTCTCTATTGTTACTAATCATAACACTTCAAGTATCATATTAAGAGAGGAAACACACGTAGTGTTTCCCAACTTCATATATGTTAACTATGGGTTTTATATATCTCCACACACAACCTTTCATTAAGTTTAACTAAGTTCCTTTTTGTTGTAGTGTGAATGTGGAATGTCACCCTTAAGCTCGTGTGTTTGAACACTTGGTCCCCAGCTGGTACTACTGTTTGGGAAGGTTATGGAACCTTTAGGGGGTGGAGCCTTGGTGGAGGAGATGTGTAATGGAGGATGGGCCCTGAGGTTTTATAGCTTAGCCTCACTTCTTGTTCTCTCGCCACTCTCACCGTGGCCGCAGGGTGAGCGGCCAGCCGCAGGGTGAGCGGCTGCAGGGGATGCAGGGTGAGCGGCTGCAGGGTGAGCGGCCAGCCGCAGGGTGAGCGGCCAGCCGCAGGGTGAGCGGCCGTCTGCAGGGGATGTAGGGTGAGCGGCCGCAGGGTGAGCGGCTGCAGGGGATGCAGGGTGAGCGGCTGCAGGGTGAGCGGCCAGCCGCGGGTGAGCGGCCAGCCGCAGGGTGAGCGGCCGTCTGCAGGGGATGCAGGGTGAGCGGCCGGTCTGCAGGGGATGCAGGGTGAGCGGCCGCAGGGTGAGCTGCTGGCCACAGGGTGAGCTGCGGCTGCAGGGGATGCAGGGTGAGCGGCCGCAGGGTGAGCGGCTGATCTTGTCACAGCAATAAGAAAAGTAACTAATATTCTCAGTTTCTTTAGGATTTTTCTTTATCATGACAGGACACTGAACTTTGCCACATGCCTTTTTTGGATCTATTGAGATGACCATGTAAATATCTATCCTCAAATCTGTTTATATGTTTTATCACATTTGTTGATTTATATTTGTATCTGCTGAACCAACCTTGCCTCTCTGGGACAAAATCAACTTGGTCATGACACATCTTCTTGATGTGTTCTTGAATTTAGTTTATAAGTGTTTTATTGAGAATTGTTGTGTCTATATTCATCAGAGTAATTGGTTATGGTTAAAAGTTCCTGCACAGCAAAGGAAACAATAACCATAATGAAGAGAAAATACCAACTGTGGTGGCTTGAAAGAAAATGGTCCCCAAAGGGAGTGGGACTATTAGGAGGTGTGGCCTTGTTGGAGTAGTTGTGGTCTTGTTGGAGGAAGGGTGTCACTGTGGAGGCGGGCTTTGAGGTCTCATATATGCTTAAGATAGTACACGGTGTCTCAGTTCACTTCCTGTTGCCTTTGGACCAAGCTGTAGAATTCTCTAGCACCACGTCTGCCTACGTGCTGTCATACTCCCAGCCGCCACACTCCCCACCATGATGACAATGGACTGAACCTCTGAAACTATAAGCTGCCACCTCAATTAAATGTTTTCCTTTATACGAGTTTCTATGGTCGTGGTGTCTCTTCACAGCAGTAGAAATCTTAAGTAAGACACCAACTTTATATAAGACAGCAAGTTAGTAACTAGAATATGTAAAGAACTGCAAAAATTAAGCATCCACCTCCCCCTACCACACACAAATATTCCAGTCAATAAACATGCCAATCAACCAATGAAGAACTCTCAGGAAAAGCACCCAGTGGACTCCTAACTCCTACACAGACATACTTGGATATCCATGTTTATTGTTACACTGTTCATATAGCTAAAAAATGGAACCAGTTTAAATGTCCATTGAGAGATAAGTGGATAAAGAAAATATGATTCATATACACAATGGACTTTCATTCCACCATGCAGACAAATGAAGTCATAACATTTTCAAGAAATGGATGTAACAGCAAATCATTAAGTTCTGTGATATAATCCAGAATCATATGTGGATTATTGATTTTAATCTGCATGTATGTATAATATGTGTGTATAAGTGCAGGTTATGAAACTAGAAAGACAACCACAGAGGAGAAGGAGAGAATTTAAGGGTTGGGGAGGGGAAAAAGCAGGAGGGGAGATATTGGAATACACTTAGCATGAGAGCAGAGGAGGGGAGTCAGATAGGTGAGGGTGGGGGAGAGACTATGAGGGGGGTGAAAAAGAGGGGGTTAGGACATGAATAAGAACAAAGTATGTGGAGCTGGTGGTGTAGCTCAGTAGAGCGGCTTGCCTAGCATGCACAAAGTCTTCGGATCAATCCCTAGCACCGTATAAATCAGACATGGTAGCTCATGCCTAGAATCCAAGCACTCAGGAGGTGGAAACAGGAGGATCAGAAGTGCAAGGGTATTCTGAGCTACATAATTCAAGGACATCCTAGAATACATGAGACTCTATCTCAAAAAATGAACAAATACGTGAAAATGCTGTAATAAATCTCACTAATATGTATGCTAGCCTAATATCTAATTTAGACTCTCTGTCCCCCACAAAAGCCGGGCATGATGACACATGACTTTAATCTTGGTACTCAAGAAGCAGAAGCAGGCAGATCTCTGTAAGTTTGAAGACAGCCTAATCTACATAGTATATTCTAGATCAGCCAGGGCTGCGTAGTGAACCTCTGTCTGAAAGATAGGAAGAAAGAAAGAAAGAAAGAAAGAAAGAAAGAAAGAAAGAAAGAAAGAAAGAAAGAAAGAAAGAAAGAAAGAAAGAAAGAAAGAAAGAAGAAAGAGAAAGAAGAAAGAAAGAAAGGAAAGAGAAGAAAGAAAAAGAAAGAAGAAAGAGAAGGCAGAGGGGGGTGGAGGGAGAGAGAGAGAGAAGGGAAGGAAGGAAGGAAGGAAGGAAGGAAGGAAGGAAGGAAGGAAGGAAGGAAGGAAGGAAGGAAGGAAGATTTCAGTGCAGTATTAAACAGTAGAAATGGTGAGGTCACTCACTCTTTGATTCTGATCAATCCCAAAGGAAAAATTTCAAGACAGGTTTTCACTGTGTGTGTTGCCTAGTAGGAAATTCTTCTGGGATCCTGGCAGGTGTGGCCTCGGGGGGGGTATTTTGAGCTGACACTTCAGAATGGGGATTGGCTGGGAGGTCCTGGGGGGTATCCAGAGGAGGGAGGAAAACAGGGTCTTGCACCAGGATCTGCTTAGTCCCCTGGGAATGGGTACAGAGAGTGAGAGGGGGCCACATCAGAAGGCTTGCTATAGAGCTGAGGATGAGAATGGGGATTGGATTTGGAGGCATGGAGTGAGAGGTGAAGCTCTGCAGTTAACCTGCTTGCTTCCCTGGTCAGGGTGTCCTGTGGGTTCCTAGGGAACGCCTGCAGGAGTTGGAGTCTGGGGACAACGCAATGATTGAGAGGAGGGGACTTAGGTGGGGAAGATCTGTGTGGTCCACTGGAGAGGGGAGCCAGGGTGGGGGCTAGGAGGGGAAGTGTGTATGGGGTGGGGGGGGGTGGGGGGGTGGGGGGGTGGAAGGTGGCCACAGCTGGTGGGTGGTCTGCAGAGCAGAGCTGGGGATGAAACTGGGGGACTGGATTTGGAGAGGCTGAGGGAGAGGTGAAGATACGCAGTTAGCCTCGCATGTGTAATTTCAACATCTTTATTACGCTTATTTTAATATCAACATCTGTCTTGTAGGTTCATAAGAAAAAAGTACATAAAAAAAGTAGAGTTACAGTCTTGAAGCGGTGGAAGAGCTGCCAGTCAATACAATGTCTGAAGATGAGAATAAGGTGGAGCCTGAAGGAGTCTTTAGATCCGAGTCACTGGAGGAGCCTGGATTTATTGAAGAAGCACCAGAGTTCTTAGATGAATCTTTTCCGTACTTGGGAAGGAGAGAATCCAATCAGATTTATGAAGAAAATCCTTTAAAGGGCCTAGAACAGCCAACAGCTTCCTCTTCAAGCCTGCTTAACACAGATGAAGAGAAAAAGAAAACAATTCCGTTTTCTGATACCAGCATAGACGATGTCACCCCACTGTCAAAACCAGAGTCACCCCAGGGCTCCGTGTCATCGGAGATGGTGGAAACTGAAGACTATGCACAAGTCATATTCCCATCTGAGGACAAAGGTAGTCCACAAGCCTCTGAAGAAAGTGAGAAAGAACTGGACTCAGAGGAAGATAACTTTACAGTTAATCTTGAGGCCAAGGGTTTACAAGAATTCCCTGTGGACCTTTTAAGAGTCCAATATGTAAAATATCTATATTTAGATAAGAATCAAATAAAAACTTTCCAAGGGGCAGATCCAGGGGATCTGCTAGGACTTGAGATTCTGTCCCTGCAAGAAAATGGACTGCCATTAATTCCCTTGGAAATTCAGTTGCTTCACAATTTAAGGATACTAAATGCCAGTTACAACCAGATATCATACATACCTAAAGAACTATTACAACTTGGGAATATGAGACAACTCTTTCTAAATAGTAATTATATTGAGGATTTACCTTCTTCTGGCTTGGAAAATCTTGCAAATTTGGAAACGTTAAGTTTGGGTAAAAATAAGTTAGCACATATACCAGAGTCTCTGTCTAGTTTGAAAAACTTGCAAATTCTTAATCTGGAATATAACCATTTAACAATATTTTCTAAATCCCTTTGCTTCCTTCCAAAATTAGCTTCACTAAACCTTACTGGAAACATGATAGGCAGTTTGCCTAAAGAAGTTAGGGAGCTGAAAAACTTAGAACAACTTTTAATGGATCATAATAAACTTACTTTTTTGTCTGTGGAAATTTTTCAGTTGCCCAAAATAAAAGAACTTCAGCTAGCTGATAATAAATTGGAAGCTATTTCGCCTAAAATTGAGAATTTCAGAGAACTCAGACTTCTTAACCTTGATAAAAACTTGTTAACAAACATACCAAAGAAAATTTCCCACTGTGTAATGTTGGAATGTCTTAGTCTCAGTGATAATAACATAGAAGAGCTTCCTAGGAAAATCCATAGGCTTAAAAATTTGAGACAACTTCATGTAAACAGAAATAAAATGATAAAAATGGCTGAAGAAATCTCACATCTTAGTAATATAGACAGCCTGGAGTTTTCAGGCAATCAAATCACACATGTTCCGATTGAAATAAAAAACTGCAGAAAAATAACCAGAGTTGAATTAAATTATAACAATATAATGTATTTCCCAGTGGGGTTGTGTGCATTACCGTCACTTGACTACTTGAGTTTTAATGGAAATTATATTTCAGAAATCCCTATGGATATATCTTTCAGTAAGCAGCTGCTTCATTTAGAGTTGAATAGAAACAAACTCCCCATATTTTCAGAACACATATGTTCTCTCACAAATCTTGAATACCTGGATCTTGGTAGAAACCAAATAAAGACAATTCCGCCCTGTATCTCTGCTATGGTATCACTCCATGTGCTCATTCTGGCTGGTAATAAGTTTGCGATTTTCCCAAAGGAACTGTGTGCTTTAAAAAACTTGCAAGTACTTGATATTTCAGAAAATCAGTTACAGAAAATAACTTCAGAAATATCTAAGCTAAAAGGGATCCAGAAATTAAACTTATCAAGCAATCAGTTCATACATTTCCCTCTTGAAGTGTGCCAACTTCCAACACTGGAGGAGCTGAATATAAGTCAGACAAGTGGGAAAAAGGTAAGAGTGCTCTTTTGGGCATGGAGACTAGAGGACTCTCAATCTGAGGCACGTTGTCCTGACTAGTTTTATGTTAACTTCACACAAGCTAGAGTCATCAGAGGAGGGAGCCTCAATTGAGAAAATGTGTCCATAAGATCCAGCGGTAAGGCATTTTCTTAAGTAGTGATCAAAGTGGGAGCCCAGCCCACTGTGGGTGGTCCTGGTTTCTGTAAGAAAGCAGGCTGAGCAAGCCATGGGGAACAAGACAGTAAGCAGCACCCCTCCATGGCCTCTACATCAGCTCCTGCCTCCAGGTTCCTGCACTGTGTGAGTTCCTGCCCTCACTGCTTTGAATAATGAACTGTCCTATGGAACTGTGAGTGAAGGAAATTCTTTCCTTCTCAAGTTGTTTTGGGTCATGGTGTTTCATCACAGCAATAGTCACCCTAACTAAGACTACAAGCAAGTGCTTTTATGTGTATTTTAAACAGGTGAAATGCTCTATGTTTGAAAACATGGCTTAGAGACACACCTCTCTATACAAAAGCTTTACAGGACATTCCATTCAAATGCAATGTGAAACAGCAGGTGATTTTGTAGATTCCTTTCTATTTAGTCCACTGGGAGATTTTCAAACTTGTATGTATGTTGTATATGTATGCATTCTTGTAGGTGTGTACATGGATGCATGTGGGTGTACATAGGTGCACTCAGAAGCCAAAGGTGGTGTCTTCAATTTTGCTCTGTTTTTCGTTTGTTTTGTTTTTGTTTTTTAAAACAAGGTCTCAGTGTGAAGCCTTGGCAGCCCTGGAACTTGCTTCATAGACCAGGTTGGCCTTGAACTCACAGTGATCAACACAGTTTCTTCTTTGATTACTGGGATTAAATGTGTGTGTCACCATACTCATTGTTTCCACCTCATTTTTTGAGAAAGTCTCTCACTGAACCTGGATTTTATGGATTGGCTAGACTAGTTGTTCAATAAATGTGTCTCCACCTCAACCCCTCTGCACTGGGGTTATATGCATGGTCCCAAATTTCCAGTGGGTGCTGGGGATTCAAACTCAGACCTTCCCGCTTGCAGACACTCTATTGACCGAGTCATCTCCTGAGCCCCTATTGTAAGAAGTTGTAAAGTTTGTGTATAATAGAACCACATTGTTGAGTTGGAAATGTGGATTCATGGTAGCACCTGGCCAACTCACGCGTGGCTCTGGGTTTGATCCCACTACCAGGATGCATTGCTGAAAATCTAGAAAATTGAGATGCTAGGAATTATTCCACAGGCATATCATAATAAAACTGTTAGATATTGCTTTAATGTACTTTTAGTCTCTTTTTCTTATATAGGTTTATAAGCAGTTATAAAAAGACTACAAATTCAATTTAAAATTTTATTCTACGTAAGTATTTCTCCTTAGTAGAACTTAATAATCTTCCCAATAACCTTTATAATAAATATATTATTTATGTAACTAATCCACTGTTAAGCATTCAGAAATTTTCTTCATGATAATGCTTTAATAATTTCTTCATAAATATATTTTTATATTTCAAGCTATTTTCTTTGGAAATTACTCCTAAAAATTGACAGATTAATTATTTGCTTATTTATTTATTTACTGAGGTGCTAGGGATCAGACCCACACCTCTCACATAGTAGGTGAGTTCTCTGCTACTAAATTATACCTCAAGCCTTGGAAATATTTTTTTACTTTTTAAAAAATTACTGCTGTAACCTTAGACCTCAATAAACACAGCTATCATCTGACTATTTTTAATGCTGGATTATTATCCAAAGCAAAATCCCTCAAAATCTATTCTTAAAAATCTTCCTTTTTGCTAAAAAAGAATCTCTCTGATCTATGGCTGGAGTTATAGCTCAGAACCAAAGTTATGTGGCCTTTATAATGTCATACCTTCTATGTAATACATTTTCAGCAAGTGTGCCAACAGTAGTTATGTGTGGCCCACGCAGATGGGATGAAGAGGGAGACACGTTGTAGTAAAGTTACTTTTGAATTAAAACATACATTTTGGTTCTTCAATATAAGTACCAGCTAATTTGACTAGTTTACAGTAAGTACTTAGATTCTCTCTTGCTGTGATGTGTGACTCCTCTAGACTATGTCCCTAACTGTGACTCCTCTAGACTATGTCCCTAACTGTGACTCCTCTAGACTATGTCCCTAACTGTGACTCCTCTAGACTATGTCCCTAACTGTGACTCCTCAAGACTATGTCCCTAATTGTAGTTGGAATTTTCTTTGAGCCACCAACCAGCTTCCAAATAAAGGCACAGAGACTTATTAGTAATTATGTATGCTCAGCCTTAGTTTAGGCTTGTCCCACTACCTCTCATAACTTACTTTAACCTGTTTCTCTTCATCTATGTTTTGCCTCAGGGCTTTTTTCCTTTCTTTCATTCTGTATGTCCTACTTTCCTGCTGGCTGGCCCCTGAAATCTCCCTGGCATCTCTCTTCTTTTCTTCCCTTTCTTCCCCTAGCCTAAATTCCTCTTCCTACTTATTCTCTTTGCCCACCAGCCCTGTCTATCCCTCCTTTCTCTAGCTATTGGACATTCAGGTTTTTATTAGACTAATCAGGTGCCTTAGGCAGGCAAGATGAAACAGCAACACACCTTTACCTAGTTAAAAAATATTCTACAACATAAACCAATGCAATACATCTTCACCTAGTTAAACAAATATTCCACAACATAAACCAATGTAACACATCTTTACATAGTTAAACAAATATTCTATTCCACAACATCTAACTCTCTCCTTTTTATTAACTACTTCTTTGACCTTGTCACACCTACTCGTCACACACATAATCCCTAGCACTCTAGTTTCATAGTTGGCAATTTCCCCTGGAATTTCCAATGTCATTTTCTCTGTCCTTGCCCATGTTCATCGTGTGTTTTATGCCCAGTTTACTCCAGCAACTTCCTTCCCTGTGCTGACTTATTTTTCTGTTTTATCAAGCCTTGTCAAAGTCATCAGACTTCATTCCAGGAGATGATTCTTTTTTAAAATACTTACTTCATGTGTATGAGTGTTTTGCTTCAATGTATATGTAAGTTCAAACCTGCTTGGATCGCATGGAAGCCAGAAGAAGGTGTCAGATCCCTTGGAACTGGAATTAAAGCTGGTTGTGAATTGCCTTTTGGGCACTGAAATTAAAACTTGAGTCCTTTCCAAGAGCAGCAAGCACTCTTAACTGCTGCATAATCTCTCCAGTCCCATAGGGGACGGATCTTAATGTGTTCTATTGGGCATGGTGGTACATGACTGCAGTCCCAACACTCACAAGGCTGAGGTGGAAGGATAGCAAGCTAAACCTGGAATACAGAGTCATACTTGTTGCTAGAGTTTTCCTGCCTGGCCCACAGTCAGGACAAATCTCTCTCACCCGCCAGTCCCAAGCCGCTCAAACCCGATCAAGTAAACACAGAGACTTATATTGGTTTCAAACTGTATGGCTGTGGCAGGCTTCTTGCTAACTGTTCTTACAGCTTAAATTAATCCATTTCTATTAATCTATACCTTGCCACGTGGCTTGTGGCTTACCGGTACTTTACATCTTCCTTGTACTGATGACGGCTGGCAGTGTCTCCCTCACCCAGCTTCCTGTTCTCTCAATTCTCCTCTCTGTTAGTCCCGCCTATACTTCCTGCCTGGCCACTGACCAATCAGTGATTTATTCATTGACCAATCAGCAGCACATTTGACATACAGACCATCCCACAGCACATACTCTGTCCAAAAAAGGAAGGAATGAAGAACAGAAAGAGGAAAGAAGGAAAGGAGGGAGGAAGGAAATTCAGGATCAAAGTAGTTGCTGAAGACACCAGTTAAAGTCTTTACAACATCATTTCAAAAGTCTTTAGATGGTGAAACAGTTTTTAAAAGAATCCTTCTTAAGGATATCCTATGTGGTTGAAAATATGACTTGGGTGGAATGGAGATAGAATAACCAAAGGATTAGCTTATTTAACAGTTGATCAACAACCGACCAGCTGAAGAAGATGGGTCAGGTTAGTGAGAGAGCTTCCAGAGCGAAGTGGGAGTTGCTCAGCAGGACTCTCCTTTCAACAGCAGCTCCATCACCTAGAGCTCTCACTTTCTCTGATAAACACTGAGAAAGTATTTAAAGAATATCTAGCCAGGCATGGCGTCCATGTCTTTAATCCCAGCACAGGGGGGCTGGAGGCAGAAGGTGGATCTCTAGGAGTTTGAGGCTAACCTGTTCCAAGACAGCCAGGCCTACATAGAGAGACACTGTCTCAAAGAAAATTAAATGAAAACTCCAAGAAGAATATTTGTTTGAAGGAAATTCAATGACAGGCCTGCCCACCTATGCTGATCTTATTCGTGCTACATAAGCTTGGCTCTCAGTCTTGAGTAGTCTTGCACAGTCTTGCTTACTTACATATTTCTCTGAAGTTCTTATCATTCTGCATACTGGGTACCTCTTCAATAGTCATATTTATGCATGATGTTTATCTTTAATATGCATCAATCCTCATTCTTGTGTGTGTGTGTGTGTGTTCTTGTGGTGTGTGTGTTGTGTGTATATGTGTGTGTTGTGTGTGGTGTATGTGTGTGATATATACATGTGTGTAAGGGTGTGGATGTTTTGCTCTCTGTGCTGAGAATAAGATAAAGTGTGACTGAGTAGTTGGACAAACTTCAGCATTAGCCTTAGAGAGACAAGAAAGACAAGAGTGGGTGGTGGTAGACTGAGCTGGGGCATGGGAAGAAAGTGGTCTCTAAGCAACAGGGCTAATTAGGGAGCACCAATCAGACCAGGAGGTACTTGGTGCTACACAAAAGCTTGAGGATTTTTAGGATGTGAAGTCACAAAGAATCTGTGACAGGATGAAAGTATCTCCTTAGAAAAGGGTTAAAACAAAACTCTATTCTTCCACTTGTTTTTAGGGGGAAAATGTAATGATACAAATATTTATAGATTTAATAAAAGCATGATTGTTAATTGTCCTTGCAGTTAACAAGAATTCCAGAAGATCTGTGTTATATGACTCAACTCAAAACACTCGACATCTCGAACAATGCAATCAAAGAGATTCCAAGAAATATAGGGGAGCTGAGCAGTCTGATTAGTCTACTTGCATACAACAATCAAATAAGTACTCTTCCACCATCCTTTCTGTCTTTAAAAGTTCTACAGCACCTAGACATCAGAGGTATGTGTCAAGCATAATAAGCAATAAGTAGAATCTGTAAGTAGAACATTGATGGCTAAACTGCAGTTTTGCTGAGAATGTCAGACAGCGCATTAAGTTGGCATCAGAGGAAGAGGGGCACACAATGTTTTTCCCAATTACAGGAAATGAGCACAAAGCTGAAGAACTGGTTTCTTGCCTTGAAAAGAGCCCTAGAGATGCAAACAGAAGGAAACAGGAGAAATGGGGGGGGGGCAGCTTTAGGTAGGAATGGGGAAAAAGGGCAATACAGAGAGAGGCAGAAGCATAAGTAACGCTAAGGGTGTTTGAAGAAGACATAGGGATCATATATTATGTTTACTTAAAATTACATGTAATATATGTGTATACATAGATATATAGTTTAGATGAAGTTATGCTATTTGGGGTGATAATGCTCCCCCAAAGAGCCATGGACTGTCTAATGAAAACAACAGTACCAGGTATACGAAACAACTTTTTTTTTTTAATTTTTTTTATTTTGCAATACAATTCAGTTCTACATATCAGCCACGGATTCCCTTGTTCTCCCCCCTCCCGCCCCCCTCACCTTCCCCCCAACGAACCCCCCCATTCCCACCTCCTCCAGGGCAAAGCCTCCCCCGAGGACTGAGATCAACCTGGTAGACTCAGTCCAGGCAGGTCCAGTTCCCTCCTCCCAGGCTGAGCCAAGCGATCCTGCATAGGCCCTAGGTTTCAAACAGCCAACTCATGCAATGAGCACAGGACCCGGTCCCACTGCCTGGATGCCTCCCAAACAGATCAAGCTAATCAACTGTCTCACTTATCCAGAGGGCCTGATCCAGTTGGGGACCCCTCAGCCATTGGTTCATAGTTCATGTGTTTCCATTCGTTTGGCTATTTGTCCCTGTGCTTTATCCAACCTTGGTCTCAACAATTCTCGCTCATATAAACTTTTGTAGCTATTTGTCAGGGGAGCCCAAGAGAATTCCAAAACCATCACTGTGGACTATTGCCATCGCCCTTAATTGCTTCCCAGAATTTGAAGTAAGACTATTGCTCAAGACACCACACACTTTGGACACAGGACTTGGAAGAGTCGAGCTGGAAGGGACCAGGAAGCCTTCTCCCTGAGAACTAGCTCTCATAGTGTCAGAAAGTGTTATGCAAGTTGTCAAGGGAGAGGAGGAACTGCTAGTCCTACCCAGCTGTAAAGCTTATGAAACACAAGAATGACTGGACCAGCAAGATATCCAGAAAGGTCAATAGTGGTGCTTTCACCTTTGAGGTAATTAGCAGTTACCTCATTGGACTTAAGGCCCACTCAACATGAGGAGACTCATGCCTAGTACTGGACACCTATCCAACTACCAGTGGCTATCAGAGAGGAATGTCCAGTCTTGCCCGTTTCCTAAACCAATATCATTTGACTCTTTTCTAAACACTTATCCTTTCACTACAGATAAATGTAGCTCTAACCCTAGTCAAAGCAGCTCCTTTTTGCAACAGATGGAGACTATTACAAAAGCCCACAACCGGTCAGAATGTAAGGAATTAGTGACTGTGGGGTGCCCAAGCCAGCTGATGCATCTGTAATGCAACACTTACACCCAAGGCTAGGGGAAACTGTGGAAGGGGGGCAGAAAGACTCTTAGAGTCAGAGGCTTAGGGTGTCTCCTAGGCATGACAGAAGCTGCACCCATGAGCTCCTAATGATATGGCTGCTTGAAACATTATGGTTGTCCAGCATAATGACAAACTTAGTTGACATTTCACTGTAGATGGGAAATTCCACATGGCCCCACCACTGCGTGAAAAGCTATAGGTTATCAGTGACTACAGAGAGGAGCGGGACCTATATTCTCTGTGGACAAACTCCCACATAGGTTGTCCAACCCCAAATAGACACAGAACATATAAACAAAGCCAAATGGACTCAGTAGGTTACATAGACATCTATACCATGCTCATGCATGTACACACGTGTAATAATAATTGAAGAGATCATGAATTTGGAAGAGAAGACATGGCAGGAGTTGGAAGTGGGAGAGGGGGAGGTAGGTGTGATGTAGATGCAGTACTTATATATGAAGTTCTCAAAAAACAAACTATTAGAAAAGAAAGAGAAAAAAAGGAAACAAAATACAAACAAAAATTCTCCAGAGCCTTCTGCTGTATCGGAGACTAGAATTTCCAACTGGAAGTACATTCCCTGGAGATGCTTGAGTTAGGACAACATCAAGACACAATGGCCAGGGGCATTGTACCTGCTCTTCAGACTGGGGCATGTCTCTGTTGTTCCACATAGAATTAGAAAATATTGAAAACCCACTCTGTCAATCAAGCTCCAAAGAGAAGCTGTGGTGGTGCAGATCAGTGGAAAGGCTGTGTTTCAACACTGCCTCCCAAGTTCCAGTCTGAATGCAGGCCATTTCTAGAAGTGCTAAAGAGAGTTAATGTTACCACAGACGTACCAATGACCGGAAGCAGTTTCTATCTGAGACTGGGGAAATAAATGAATGGACATAATATTGACTCTTTAGAGCAGTTGTTCTCAATCTTCCTAATGCTGCGACCCTTTAATACAGTTGTGGTGACCCCAACCATAAAATTATTTCCATTGCTACTTCATGACAGTAATTTGCTACTGATGGTACTGTAAATATCTGAGTTTTTCAATGGTTTGGTCATGACCCACAGGTTGAGAACCACTGCTTTAGAGTGTAATGATAGAATGATCAATTTTAAACACAGAGCCTAGTGTAGTGGTTTTTAACAGATGCTGTCATCTCTGCCCCCAAAAGATAGACTAGCAAATGAAAGAAAAGTAGATGGGCACATCATACCCAGGGAAGACAATTCCTCAGGGACACAGCCCAGTGCTCTTCACAGTCTACATACAGCCTTGGTGCTGTCTTTACTTCCTGCCCTCCCAGATAGCCTATTGGCTGGTTTTGCTGGTAGCATTATAGCTGTAGTCTACAGCAGCATTGGTTCTGATGCTCAGCCCCTCCACCAGAGCAACTATTAAATATTTGAATAGTATCACTGTCTACATTGCCCAAACAGAGCTCTGAAAGGATCCTCAAGCTATGTCTTTATTTCTATTTATTTTTTTCTCTTTTTTTTGAAGTTTGGCATACAAAGTAATGAGCTTTCGTGTGGAATTTCATACATATATACCTGCCTTAATTAGGGTTTCTATTGCTGTGAAGAGACACCATGACCATGTGACACTTATAAAGGAAAAACATTTACTTGAGGTGGCTTACATTTTCAGAGATTTAGTCCATTATCATCATGGTGGGACACGGTGGCATATGGGCAGACATGGTGCAGGAGAAGAAGCTGCGTGTCCTTCATCTTGACTTGCTGGCAACAGGAAGTGGTCTGAGATACTGGGCTTGGCTTAAGCATATATGAAAGCTCAAAGCCCAAATCCACAGTTCCTCCACCAAGGCCACACCTCCTAACAGTGCCACTCCCTTTGGGGGCCATTTTCTTTCAAAGCACCACAATAGCATTATACTTTGCTTTTGTTGCCCCCCTCCTTCCCCATGCTACTGCTCTCCTCTTGCCAGCTCCTCTTTCTACTCCCATTACTACTCTGTTACTCTATTTTGTCTTCTCTCTCCCCTCCTGTAAGATCTTTTCCTCTTCGTCACGGTTCTCTTGTTACTTTCATCACAGACACACACGTACATGCATATGCATGCACATGTACACAGACACACACAGACACACACACACACACACACACACACACACACAAGCACACACACATTTAAATCTAGAGTCATGGGGCTGGAGAGTTGGCTCTGCAGTTAGGAGCACTTGTTGCTCTTGTAGAGGACCCAGGTTCGATTCCTAACACCCACATGGCAGCTTATACCTACAACCCCAGTGCTAGGGGATCCAATGCCGTCTTCTGATCTCCATGGGAACCAGCAAATACATGGTATATATACATACATGCAGTCAAAATACTCATACACATAAAATAATAAAGTAATTAAAATTTAAATCTAGTGTCTGCATATAAGGAAGACATTGCTTGCTATTCTGACTCTGGCTTACTTTGACTGACATAATGATCTCCACTATTCATTTTTCTACAGATATCATAATTTCATTTATCTTTTTATAGTTAAATAAGATCCTATCTTGTACCCCTGGCTTATCCATTCATCTCTGGATTGACGTCTCAGTGGGTTCCATTTCTTAACTTCTGTAAGCAGTGCAGCAGTAAACACTAACAGACCATGATGTGTTAGCTGAGGGTCCTCATATGTATCAGCAGTATTCCTAGTTCAATGGATGGCTTTTCTTTGTTTTAGCTTTTTTAAGGACTCCCAGCACCACTGATTTCCATGGTGGCTGTACACTTTATATTTCCACCAGCGGTGTATAGTAGTCCCTCTTTCCTCACATCTATTTGTTGCTTGAAAAAATAAATATGTTTACCACAGTATGATATCCAGATGGAAAGAATGCATATTGCCAATCTGCCGCTCAACAGATTTTGAAAAACTGAACAAACCCATGTTTAAGAACATGAATCAAGAAACAGATGAGTCCCACAAAACCACCCTGCTTTCATCCATTAGTAAAACTGTAGGAAAACAAAGATAAAGAAAAAAAATCTTGAAAGCAGCCAGAGAAAAGTGATTCAAGTAATCAGAAAGGATTAAAAGACAACAAATAGAAAAACAAGTAGTAAAATGTTTTATCTAAATCCAACTATCACATTTTTTTTAGCAGATTGGAGATTGAGGTTAGGGCCTCACACCTGCTAAGCAAGTGCTCTACCACTGAGCTACAGCCTCAGTCCTTAAATACAAGCGTGCTTATAATTGAACATTCGTTGGTTAAACACTCTAACTAAAAGACAGAGATTACTGGAAGGGATGAGAAAGACATAGCTATGAGAGGTGTGCTTCAAATATAAAGGCACAAGTAAGTGTTGTCTACCAAGATGCACTTCAAAAATGACACCACCAATGTGTTCAAAATTAATTTAC